GAAGACGAAAGACAGCCTCTGCGGTTCTAAACTGTATGAGGTTATACTTGGTAGGTCTGCCGTTACTTACAACTATACAACATACAGAAGTCTTCGGAGCGTGGAATACTGATTCCACCGTAAAACTGTCTGACCTAGAGTCAGCACTTACGAAGCGGCTGAAGAGGTCGCTGGACAGTTGTGTCCAGCGGCGGAATAAGTCACAAGTGACGTCCAATGACAGTGGTAAATTAATTGTAGTTTTCCAGTAATTGATTTTAATTTCTAGACAATACACACGGATCATCTACTGATTCCTCGCCTGCGTTACCTTTGTGAACACAGAAGGGGTTCAGCATTGTACATATTACTTTTACTTTTTTTAATAAGCTAATTGTTGTATTAATACAACCGTCTCCAGTGTACCTATGGGTAATAGGGGGGTAATATACATACAACAAGGAATGTAGGGGGGCGGAAAAAGGAATTGGGATAAGCAAACGATTCCACGCGTAGCATATTACCCCCCCTTTTCGCCAATAGCGTAGTATCTCGATTAATCGATATCTAATAGATATCTATGGTTGCGTCAAAATAGATATCTAATCGATATATATATATATATATATCGATAAATAGATATCTAATAGATATATACTCGATATAGTTTGCTACTAGGGTTACAATACAACCGTCTCCAGTGTACCTATGGGTAATAGGGGGGTAATATACATACAACAAGGAATGGAGGGGGGCGGAAAAGGGAATTGGGATAAACAAACGATTGCACGCGTAGCATATTACCCCCCCTTTTCGCCGATATCGATTTATCGAGATACTACGCTATCTAATAGATATCTATGGTTGCGTCAAAATAGAGATCTAATCGATATATGTATATCGATAAATAGATATCTAATAGATATATACTCGATATAGTTTGCTACTAAGGGGGTTATGTATACAGAAGCCGAAGGATTCCGGGTAGTAACCGCTCTCGATTTATTACAGTTTCGGGCCGTTAGTTTACCTTTAGGGGCTCGCTTAGCCTTGCGCTTTGACTACTTATGCAATACACGGTGGGCGCAAGACACCAAACTCTCGGGAATATAACCGGGAAAACCAATGCCGAGGGTTTGCGTAGTGTACTAAAACATACGGGAGCGGAAAAAATCCATACGTGGCATCCGAGAGATTAACACCATATCAAAAAGTAAAGAAACATCAGCTTACGTTTAAATAAGGAAAAAACTCGCCCTTCTTTCCAAAGTTTTCCAATTCGGGATATGTGGAAATTATTACGATAAGTATTAATTACGAAAATAATAATCTCCATTGGAAGCCTAAGGCGTATTCTACTTCGCACAGATACCTTTGAAAATTGCATCTTTCAGTTTGTTGCCCGTGTAAAGCACTAGGTGAACAGCGCTTCGCATACTGCGCTATTTAATTCAGTGTTCAATTTGTATGGAAAGCGTCCTCTGCGCACCAATCAATAAAACTATAATTAATATTACTTATCCTTATTATCCCCCCCTTTCGGCTGGCCGCCCCTTTCCTAACCCAGCAGATCTTTTCACTGTCGGAAGTTATTTCCGCATACCTGACATTTCGCTTGTCCATTACGCATGATAATTAACCCCTGTTTTATTTAGCAACTCTAAATGTATTTTTGAGTGAATTTTAGCACACATAGGCACTTACTATGCAGCGTACAGTTCATTCTTGTAAAATGGGCAGTCTCCTTTGAAAAACGATTAGCGAACATTGAAAAAATTCGCTTTTGAAAAAGATAAAATGAATGTGATTTGATTAGTTTTTAGGAAAAAGAATGTCGCTCATGGGAAGGCAAGAATGAGGATCGAAACTGACCTTCCTGCAGGTGGTGACATATGGGAGTTCGAAACGGCGATCGCCAAGCTGGAGCTCCTGACCCAGTTCTAATACGAACTTCACCTTTAAAAATCATGCGACTGTTCGCATGCGTTATCCTTGTCCGTTTTTTTCACAATTTATGTGGTAATACTGACTGCCCTTCCGTCCTGCATGCCCATATCCATTGTTGCCCATATCGTTAACTGAACTGTGTTTTAAAGGACCCTGTTGAGGCGTCTGTTTCCATCTACTAGTCTGTTGTTCTTCGGCCGTATACTTTTATAAAGTCAACCCACTTTCGATTAACATCCAAACGCCTAACGTATGGTTCGATAAAAACAGACGTGCTTGGAATGTCTCTTCACTTGTCACCAAAGCAATATGTTTTTAATGGGTGGACAGAGGCATGTGATAACAGACATGCTCGGGCTGCATGTTCGTAGCTTCCACTCGTAATCTATCTACCAAGACCAGTGCGAGGAATCTGGGAGATTTTGCTCTCCTGTTCGTCAGCACGGCAGCTTCCTCATGTCGCCTTTCGTCCTCCAAAACCCATTGTTAGTTTAAGCTTCGTGGGTCCCGTGACTTGGAAGGGACTCGACAACAGCTTCATGCCAATTGAAGGTGCTCTACTTAATGGTTGCTTGCAGATTTAAAAAACCTAACTGCATGCACGCCTTTCGTGCGCCAGCCAGGAACCTCAACGCCCGGCACTCACCTTGCCAGAAAAATTGCTACCCCTTTCAGGCTCCATAACAGCAGCGACCTTCATTCCGTGATGTCCTTAGAAAACTGTTCCTCAGTTAATGCAGCCCACATCGATTTCAACAGTCTTCGACGTATTTTTACAGAGACGACTAATATTTACTCTGCGTCTAATGACTGGCAATCTAATCATATGGTTGGCCAGCTTCCTCACAGTCAGAAGTCAGCGTGTTTGGCTAGGTAACGCCAAGTCGGAGTGAAAAACCGCTCACAGTGTAGTTCTGCGTGGGAGCCTTCTGGGTCATTTTCTGCCTTTAACAACTGTGGACGACTGCCCTCATCGTCTGAAAAGCGACAATAATTATCGCCGATTACCCGAAGACGTTCAATTCAACAGAGAAACCACAAGATGTGCTGAACTTGCAAAATAGCTTGGATCGACTACAACATTGGCTCCTTAATCTTATTAAAACAAATTAAAAATTATCAGACTATAGTTTACTTACAGAAAGATGATGAGATTTAAACATCACTATTTAATCGGAGGTCATTCACTTTAACCAGTAGACGAGCTAAGGGGCCTTGGTGTGCTGATGACGTCCACAAATAAACATGTTCGCTATCTCAATAGAGACATGAAGGTCAGGTGTACCCTGGGAGCGATCAGGGGATTCATTCTGGAGTTTGATGAAGAGCACTTTGGTCGAGTATTCAAAGTATTTGTCCGGCTGATGATATAATATTGCACTCCGACGTGGCGCCACTTGATGAAACAAGACTACAGTCTTTTGGAGAAAGTAGAGCGAAATGCAGCGGAAATAGTCAGCAGACTGAAGTGGCTCCCTAACGAGTAACGACTAGAGGGGCATAGAATCTTCCCTCTCTCGCTCTCTCTCTCTCTCAAATACGGCAAACGGAGGGGGGTGACCATAGTCTTCAGAGTCGTCAACTCACGCTCAATACCGCATAAGAAGCCGAGGCTAAACGGGGCATGAACCTCGTGGCAGCCGGATGCACCACATCCGGACTGGCCATCAACAAGGACAAAACGGAGGTCATACGCTAACCGCCACCCAACGCTGTAGACAGTATTCTTCTCATCCAAGCCAACAGCACTGACTTGGACACCGCGGACGACTTCGCCTACTCCGGCAGCACAGTCACTCTGCATCGAAATCGACGACGAATTGCTTCACCGGACCTTCAAATCTAGCTATGTTCACGGTCGGCTGCAGAACTCCGTATGTATTCTCCACGGTTTTCACTTGAATATCAAGCCGGAGATGCACAAACTTGTCGTCCCGACGACACTTCCATATGGAACGGAGACCTGGGCCGTTTACTCCAACCATGCCAAGAAACCGCACCACTTCCATCTGAGCTGCCTCCGCCGGGCGCTGAAGCTGACATGGCCGGACAAAATATCAGAAACGTAAGTCATGGGACGGGCTGAAATTCTCAGCGTCCATGTCAATGTTAGGCAACTGCATCTGAAATGGCGCTGCGATCTCGCGAGGAAGGGCGATGCACGATTACCCAAACGACTGTTCTACACAGATGCCTCTATAGATGGTCGTAGACCTGAAGAACAATAACAACGCTACAAGGACGTTCTGGTGGACTCTCTGAAGCGCCAGCATATCAGCCCAAGAGACCTGGAAGGTCCTCGTCCACGACAGACCGGCCTGGTGAAAAGCAGTAAGGATGGGCGCAGAAAATCACGAAGCAAATCGGATCGCCGCCACAAAGCCAAAAGAGGAACTCACAAGTTTCGGGAGCCCCTGAACCGTAACAAGGTTATTCAGTCCCACCAAACAGGCCCTCGCTATCAATACACGTTCTGCACGTGGATCGGCCTCATCGGTAATCTTCGGACACAATTCATCAGTTGCCAGACAACTGAAATCTGTCCTCACGACCTCTCCGCTTCGACCTCCGTGCGGACGATGACGACGCCCACCCGCACCGACGTTTTTTCGAATCACCTTGCTCCACCGCCGTCGACCACTGCCATCTCCATCATCACCACCACAATGTCCGTGGCAGCGACGAACATAACCACCTCCCCAATGACCGAAACGCTCCCAACGCCCCGTCACCCCCCCCCCCAACACTTTGACTACTATAATCCCCACTTCCAGCGAAGCGAAGTCCGCCTCAACCTGTCCCCATCGCAATCGCACAATTACCTCAGGCATCGGACTGGTAGGTCATTTGTGAACCCATCCCACTCTGACAAATACACTGGTGCCTAGAACCTCGACACATATTCGCCGCACCCGATTTTACTGTCCGTAAATTACACATGCATTCACTAATCAGAATGGCTTATTCAGTAACGCGCGCTTCCACAAATACGCAGCTCATGTTGAAGATCATGTCGGCGGTGCCGCGGTTTCCGCGGGACCCACACAGACTTTCTGGGAAAGTCCTCCTTCGAGATGGTCACTGAGACGGTTAAGGAAGATACGGGCGAAGGTATTTCCTGCGATGTTGAGCAGCGGAACTCCTCTGTGGTTGTCGCCGATTTGCCGGTTTCCCTCCCGTTTGTAGAGGCAAACGACTCTCGTATCGTTGAAATCCTGATGAACTTGTCCGTGATGTCACATCTCATGAACTGGCGCGGTGAGTTGCTCCACAATCTGGGGGCTGCTGCGCTTAGAGACTTTAGGTGGGATAGCGTCATATTCCGGAACTTTCTTTTTAGGTACTTGATGCACTCGGTGAAATGTTACTGGAAGAGAAGGCGCAGATACAGAGCGTCGTTCGTTTCCATTTGGGGTAGGCTATCGATGACGGAGTCGGAAATTGCCGAGGGGCGGTCGAGTTCGTCAACTAATTCTTGGGCCCAGCGCCTCAGAACCTGTGCTTTTTCCGTCAGAAGCTCTGTTGCACAGTAGCTGAGAAATTGCATGGTTCATTTAGTTGGATAGGCATGGATCTCCATGAGTGATGAAAAAAATTCTTAAGTTAATGAGGAACAGCATACTAGAGTCATACTGGAGTTCTACATGTCCCACAGTCGGAGCAGTACGGTGCGAAAATGACGGAAAAAGGCCGTCTTGTTTGCTGCGATCCGGTGGTTCACGTAGGCTTTGTGCAGCCGACGCATTCCAGCGAACATTTGACTGATGTCTCCGTCGTTGTCGTTAAATCGGTCCTAACGTTGACGACGTGAGCAAACGCGCATTTTGAATTCAGTTTGGAATTTTTACCTCCGGAATATCCACCTTTTTCGAAATTTCTGTCTACCGGACGCTCCGATGGCCGGGTGTGATCAGAAAGTTTATCTCTATTCACAGTATCTCGATCCTCACAGGACTACAGCGGGACTTTGTTGAAAAAACCAGTGTCCTTTCGACCACGTCTCTGTTAAAAACCTGCGAGATTTCCCAAACTGAAGAGATGCTGAGTCGTTTGTTAGGTACTTAATACCGTTGGCGTGCTTAAACAGCTTTTCTAACAACGTCGAAAATTTTTTTTATTCATTTACCTAATAAGGGTAGGCGAAAAGGTGCTGTCGGAACATTACACGGTAAGTTCGCACCTAGTCGGAATCAGTCCTTCCCCATGTGCAGATTGCTTTGTTGTCAGCCAACGTTTTCCCGTATCGGCGTCGGCCCTAGTCCCGTCTAGCTCTTCTTCTGAGCGCAATATCATCGATCCAGTTTAAACCTGCCACCTTGAAACATTCCCAAGTAGCTATAACTACTTAAATGCTGTTCCAAATTTTATCAGGCTACATGATCTTACAGGTAAAGATGGACTAATTCTAGATCCTCAATCGACCTCCATGGCTCAGAATTTAATTTAATTAATTATTTTTTATTAAAGACCCATCGGGGTCCCATCAAAGCAAGTAAAAATAAATTTACATGCGAATTTTAGACGAGGTAGGCAAAATCTGTCCAAGGTGCAAGACATTTTTGAGATTAGAAGTCCATTAAGAAAAATGAAAAGCGAGGGGTGAAAAAAACTCCATACAAAAATTTAAAATAGGTTGGATTAATTTTACAGGAGAAAGAAACCCCTCGAAAAAATAGAAGACAGAAAAATGCGGGCAGGACTGGCCTGCATGTGGCGGTATAGAATGGTTTACAGTCGGACATCAACAGGGCCGAAATAAATGTCAGCTGTATATGGCATTGTATAACGGATTTCATGAAGGGGTTAGTAGGCGGGTCGGTCAGGACTGGCCTGTATGTGGCCTTGAATAAGGCAAATAAGTGGCGAAATTGAAAAGCAGTCTCGAGGCGATAGGAACCTAGATGCGGTCGGTTACATTCATCCGAGTCCATCCGAGGATGGGGCAAGGAAGATGCGACCAGACTATTAGCATATGGCGAATAAAGAAGGTTTCGCCAAGAGCATTGATGGAGCGCATTCTGTGAGAGCACGACGCATGAACTGAAAAATTGGAAAAATTAAAATTTCTCGTGAGGGATCATAGGAAGCGAGACTACTCACAAAAGAAGGAAATGTGAACAGATACGGAAATTTAATGGCGGCATACTAATTTCCTGGTGGCCCTTTCTCAGTGCCATAGAAAAATTTGTCTGGGAAGGATGAGGAAACCAAAAGTTTAATCGAGTCAGTATTCAGAAAAAAGGCGTAGCCTTCTCTTAAATGTGTGTAGATTTTCAGAAGATCTTATATTTGTTGGAAGGTTATTCCAGAGGAAAGTATATATGGAAGCGAAAAAAATGACGATTTAGTTAACAGAACTTGATCAAATCCATCCCGTTCCTGTGTCAGGCCATCAAGTCCGACCTAGTGGCAAAAGTGAATGGGCCGGATAATAGCCCAGGCAGATCTTTACCTGCTCCTTTCCGGAGTGCTCAATTTAAGGAAGACACCACAGATGGGAAGCCCACTAACAGTGCCCATGAGGCGTTATAATAAATCTATTCTGTTCTAACGCACCAGCCTGTGAAATGCAAGTATACAGTGTCGTTGAAAATTTCTCTAACCCCACAGCAGTCCTGACTTCTAAAAATATGTAGCTTACTGATATTGCAACCAGTTTCTCAGGACCAATTTGTCTGTTTTCTAATATAAATCACTCCTTATATTATGCTCGACATACTCAAAATCCTATTTTTATGCTTCCTATTTTCTTCAATCGCATGAAGTAGCATTCATCTTAATTGACTCTGCTCAAATATATTTCCATACGATACTGCCGCATCAGGTAGTAGCAACATGTGCACAAATTTCAGACCACAGTAACTTTGCTTTTCGCCCCTTACTTATTTCTTACAGCTCATTTTTCCACCACCAGGTCCTCCTTTTTCATAATTAATGATAGTCGAAACCTGCATCTGAGGAAGACGTTCAATGTAGTTTCTCTCGACTAGAGACCAGTTGTGCAAAAGATGGCTCAGCTGGGGGCTGTATCCTTTGAGTTTGACCCAGATGTTTTGTGCATTAAGAGTCTTCGGCTAACTCTCTAATTTCTGACCCGGCACTCGTCATAGATAGTCCCAGCTTATACCGACAAGATGTTGTGGAAAGCATGGCGGTGGTTGTCTTTTTCACGTCAGAGCTTTACTTGCACATTTACCTAATGACCCCGACTTTTCTTCATTTTCGGGAAATCTCCGCTACCTTTCCATAATCCTTCCGCAAAATAGGAAAGCCTTAATTTGACGTTCACATAATCCTCCTTGTTACTACGGAAGTGAAAGCCACCTTTGTGAACTCCGAAAAATCGCAGTAACTCCATTCCATGTCAAGAAAATCATAGGCGATTTTAATTTGCAGGAAATTAGCCGGCACACACCCATCCCTCTCCTAAATTCCAGAAGCTTTTGGCTGCAATTCACTTCTCAAACTGGTCTCAATTATTCTACTCTTCGACCAGAAACTATAGTATATCAGATTCGGTTTTTACTAATGGCATCCACTCTTTAGGTATGCATTTCCATCGTGATCTTTTTGCAGGTGGTCATGCATTAAGTCAATGTTGTCTTCTGGTTTCAACTACTGCAAAGCCAGCAGTGGCACGTGGCTTCTCGACTATGTTAGTACTGACAAGGAATTAATAACTATTTGTGCACGCACTCTCAAGTGGAACAGTTTTTTTCCAAATATCGATCCACATTTTTGCTACGATTTGTTGCATCAGGTAACAGAAGGTCTTTTTGATCTCATTCCGCCGAAGAAGGTCAAATCGAGTGTCACTTACTCCACTGTCCCACATTTTCTTGAAAAAAGACTTTAACAACTACGGAAGCAGCCTAAGGACCCTTCCGTAAGCTTATTATCGGTCAACCTAAGAATTGCTAAAGTATTTGCATTAGCTGCGATAATGAAGCTGGCGCGACCTGGGCGTAGGGAGACTTTAGCTGTTCTATTTCGTTGCTGATCCGAGTACCTCTAGATCTGTTGCTCTGGTCTTACGTCAAAGATCATCAGCTATTTTCCACCAAATCATTTCGCACTTGTTTAGTTGGTCATTCACCCTTTTGCAATGAGCCGTTCCAGACGCGCTGACATGAAGTCCCACGACACGTCCGCAGAGACGCAGCCGCCCATGCAGCTACTCGAACGCGCCTCCCCCCTGCAACCAAAACCTAAGTCACTGGGACACTACCCCTCGGTAAATGCAACATACACTAACCGGACACCACTTGAGTTTGGTACACGAGCTTACAAAAGTGACTGCCACCACTGCCCCAGGGACTCTCAGGCCTGACTAGACGCAGTCACCATCAGCACTGGCTTCGCCATTGGCACTGCCGCCTGAGAGGACATCTCCGGACTTTGTATACATTAAACCCCTCATTCTTGTGCCTTCTGTCTTTTCCTTCCAAGATATGATTTGACCTGACGATGGCAGCTCACAGAACACACACTCACACCTCTTAGCTGCTACAAGCAAAAAAAGGGCGGCTGGAGGTTCTTAGTGTTAATGGGCGATTGCATAGAGAGCCATTTAAATGAGTTTCGGTATCAACTATAGTCTAATTTTTCCCCGAGGATTATTAGGAGAGCTTTCAAATTATTTATTAAACATCCTAAAGAACAGTTTCTACTGTTAAAACTGTTTTTTATCCGTTTGTGTCTATTTTATAGACATACATTCAATATAATAAAGTCCTTTTTTATTGGAACGATTAACTTCTGATTTAAGTGTTAACAATTCATAGGCGGTTAGATCTTGTGAAAAATTTCTGATGATATGGGAGGTGGACAACTTTCTTTAACTCTACTACGTTTCCCTAAATTTGATCAGCATACACAATGTCTATTTCACTTTGCTGGCATGTCTGATTGTGTCCTCTGATTTACTAAAAGTTGCAAACTTCTGCCCATATAGAAACTGTCAGAGTGTCTCGGATACCGTTTCGTCTATCACCATTGCCACCGTCAATGGTATGTGTCAGGAAAACTCGAAGAATCCGCTCGGAAAAATAACCAATCACCTGACAGACATCATTAACAAATAGGGGACGTGTGCGACGCCTGACGACCCCAAAGAGGTTCGTGCAGCGAGCTGCGCAGGCCGTTCATCGTTCTCTTTTCAATCACGTCTCACCGGTAAGACAAGCATTGCAAAAAGGAAATCTAATTGTTTGTTTATGTAATTGCTTGCCTTTCATAAACAAGTAATTGCAAACTATGCGGAAGGAAATTTTTTCGCCGCGCGAATGACGATTTTAGGCAGATTGGCATCTCCAAAGATTTCAGCCTCACATTAGCTTAACGCGTTCCGTAGACGCCTCGAGGAGTCACGATACCATAGGTAACTAACTGTTTCTGGCTGATCGTGCAGTTCTTAGTCATCGCATCCGGCGCTCAACTGCCTAGGCAGTAATTTTTCGACATCGAGCCGCCTTACATGAAACATTTCGGGTACCAGGGAAAGGTGACCTTTCGGACATATGTGAATGTGTAACCGCTTTGACTAGTTTCGATATCGTCCGCCGGGCTACTCTTATTAACCCTTGTATAAAATCTTGAGCTGACTATAATGCATTCAATCTGACTGGCTGTGCGGCCATCGTTCGAATACCTGGTTAGCGTGTGTTTGCAGTTTTGCTGTCAGCGCACCTCGGTGACAAATAGACGCATCTGTTCAGCCACGCCCAGCGGTCGTTTGTCATTGCCTTAAATTGGGCGAATATGGTTGCAAATTTAAGTAAAATCAGCCCAAAGGACGCTTATAAATATCCACTCTCGAAATTAAGCCAAGTATTTCCATACGCTTCTTTCAGTGTTTCCCCGCAAACTGTTGTTGAGCGCTCTTTGCTGCTCTCAGGTAAGATCCTCTATGGCGCATCAACGGGACTTCCAAAAGGTGTAGCTCTATTTGCCGATTTACGAATGCTATAGTTACGCTTGAGTTGCCGGTCCTTCCTCTAGACGAAGATGAGTCTCCGCCTATCTCCCTGTTGTCATTTGAACTGCTTTTTTCGAAATACCCAACTATGATTTAACGTTTCCCTGAGAGGCCGTCTTTACTTTAGAAAACATTTTGATTCGCCGCTTCATGCGACCGTAAACCAAATTGTAAGAAATAATTTTGTCGAAAACCTGCATGGAATTTCACAAATATCCACGCAAACTACTGTTTGTAGATCAGCTTCGAAATAAGCATTCTATAAAATTGAGTATTATAGGATGACCCTGCATGGACATCTTTTGCAGTACGCGGGAATTCGACTAGTTTTCGGTATGTTTTTAGAGTTGTTTGGAGCAAAGTTCAATAAATGTGCTGTCCTATGAAGTATTTACCGAAATTCTTAAATGGGCTTTCAATGCGAAAAATTGCTTAAGTAGGGTCGTAATACTAATTGTCGTGTAGCATAATCCTAAGATGTTTCAGTCACGTCAAGGTTCCGGCCTTTCAATGAGATTCTCTCTTTCCGTCTACAAAAACTACACTCTGCAAAAAATACCTACATAGGTAATACGGATTTTCTCCACCGATTTTATCGCCTCAGTAATTCAATTATGTTTATAGAAAGAGTGCACGAAAATATCTTCTCTTGTGCTCATTTCGTAGAAACCTACATCTTCAAATTTTATACTCAAAGAAGGGGTATCTTTCGGTTTTAAAAGGTTTTAATCGTGAGATTTTTTGAGACCATAGAATTTCCATTGATACAACATCGTATCTGCACGTTTATCAATGTTTCTTATAAGGTAAACAACCTGGTCCATATCCGCTGCACAATTATGAGTACTACATAACGTCTTCCTAGAATCGCAGGCAACTGAATGATATTCCCTTGGCGGTTTTCAAACCCTGAATGCACTTGTAAGGACAGCTGGGACAAAAGTTGTTCAGGGGCTGGGAAAGCTTTTAAAAATCGAAAGGTACTCTCTCTTCAAGTAGGAAATTCAAAGAAGACGTAATTTAATAAGAAATAAGTTCAGAAATATTTTTGGGCATGTCTTCTATAAAATATGATTGGATTTATAAGGGCATCCACAATCAGTCGGAAAATACATATTACTTAAGTTATCTCCCTTTACTAAGTGTGGTTTTAGCAAACAGCCGACAAGGAGTTCATTTAATAGCCGGCATGTTGACGTGACTGAAGTATTTTGTGAGTTTGCTACAAGATAATGCATATTGCAGCCCCACTTAAGTTATCTTTCGAATCGAAAACATTTCAGAATTTCGGTCAACAGTTCACGAGCTAATACATCCACTGTATGTCGAATTGGCCTAGCCTAGACGACGCAGTCGAGTAATCTGCCTTATGCGCTACTTCAAATATGGAACTTCTCTACGGTAAACTCGTCCTTCCTGGATCTAGCTCGTTGTGTCAAAACAGTGATAATGAGATCACTCTTATTGCTCAAATTATAATCGGAGTTTTCGGGGCCGTTCATAATAAATAATTTTTTTTCCTTCTCAAAACTCCAATGGCAGTGAAAAACCAGACTACATCCTGGCGCCGTTCTCATTTACTACAGCATCTGATTGAGGTGTAATCATAAAGACGTGTTAAAGGCGACTTTGTTGCTGTAAGTATCGCCGTTTTTCTCCAAATTCAGATTGACCATTATTCCCATCAGCCCCTTCTACGGAGTAGTTTACAATGCTGCCCCCCAATCTGACCGTCTTTAGTGTGCATTCATTTTCGTTCTAGATGGTCAAACTTATGGCTGTTTTTTGTGATTTGTCGCCTGTTTTCCCAACCAGTCTGCTAGGCCATCCTTTCACCTCATAGGTCGCTCGTGTTCACATGTGTAGCCACAGTCATATTCTAGTCAAAGTCATAGGCCCCATTTCTTTGAGAGGCTCAAGCGTCAGCGCGAAATGCATGGCCGTCAAAAGCGTTGATTGCTATCAGTTCTAAATTTACTGTTGCCCTTAACACCAGCGATTTCGTCCTCTGGCGGTGTAGCCTTCCCAGCATTCATCTTGATGTCCAAGACACTTGGTTTTAGCGCATCCGTTTAGGACTGTCTCTACTGTGCCTTTTCTAGTTTTATATTTCGGCGCACCGCACGCAGATACTGTCCTCTGCTTTTCTTGGAGTCGTAAATCATGTCTATCCTTACTCACACTGCCCACATATTTTTCCAGTCTCACTGATACTTCGAAATGCTCCTCGAAGTGGTCTTGACGTTCCTTGCTCTCTACATGATCCTGTCGCTCGTTCTCCTACGCAGCCCACAACTTCTGCACAAGCGACGAACTCCTGCATTTGAAGCTGCGATGATTTGCCATCGTGGAGGTGAGTTTAGGTTTATCACCTGTCCCCAACAGGCCTTCATAATAGGGTCCGGTGAATTCTTGGAGAACACCATGGATGCATTTTCTGGGTAGGTTATCCCCCCTCCTACTTAATAACTCACCTTCTAGGTGTGTGGAACTTGGCTGTGATCTTATTGAACTCGACTGTCAACTCACTAAAGACGAGCAGGTCGTTGTAAGCCACGACAACGACCTTTCTCGAGGGACAGGCAAAAAGGTCTGCGTCTCTGATCTCAACTTCGACGAACTTCCCGAGTACTCAACGTCTGTGCAAGTGCAGTTTGGTTTCGGTGAGTAGTCACTTGAGGGCTAATAAATGATTTTCCTATCCTCACCCGTTTTTTTATATGTCCTATGTTTGTTGCTGCAGACAAACCTCTCCAGGAAGGAGACGTATGCTCTCATGGTTATTGATTTTTCTCTTAACACAACAGTCAAGTAACTCAGAACTTGCTTTTATAAACTTAAAGGTGAAGAACATCATGTGAAACCAGGCGCCTCCCGCCGTATACCTCTTCTGAAGAGTGTCTTCGAGGCCTTCCCAACAGTCCCCATCAATATTGACGTCAAAGTGGACAACGATGTCATGATTCACAAAGTAATTCCCTCTTTACTTCCCTCAAAAGTACCATCTGCCAACAACTTTCTCCAAAACCCGAAAATCGAGTTGTACTCATGAATTTTCGGGTTGGTGACACCAACCCGTCGTCCGACAAAATGAACAGGGAAGAAGGTGATATCGACAGACTAGACCGGTTGGCACGGCAGGACAGACGGTGACGGACAACCAACTGTAGTGGTGAAAATGCGATTCCCGGGAGGCATATCAAAAGAAGAGGAGGCGTTCTCCCGGTGAACGCCTCCTCTTCTTTTGACAACCAACTGTCTTTCCTGTCGCGCCAACACCATGTCAGTGTGGTGCCCCGGTGTCGTCGGAAGCCACATTGGCTTTCCGGCAGAAGTCCTTGTTTTAGGTGGCCGTTGAGGTGGTTGAGGAGGATTAGGGCGAAGATGTTCCCGATGATGTCGAGTAGCGAGATGTCTCTGTGCTTGTCACATATATATGTACAGGAAGGTGGGCATCCCAAGATATGTAATTCGGTGACAGGTAAGTTCTTTGAGATGGTAACAAAATTAATTTCGTAATTTTTTAATGTCGGTTCCACAGGCCGTAGTCGAATGTAGGATAGAATGTGCAAAACAGTTATCTTTTTCTGCACGCCTGAAGATCAACGCTTTTTTGTCGTTTCTGCCAATAAGCGGTTGCCGTATGCTGTCAATCCGTTTGGATTGGCTGCCGTCTCTTCCATGTCCCCTTGAGATTTTCGCACGCGACTTCCACCTCAGTATGTTGATTGATACATATCTCATCCTGCTGTATGGTTTTTAGGAGTTACTGGCCTTTCTTAGGTGGACGCCTATTAGTTTGGCATTTTTAGAAATGTCACGCACGGGACTATTTGAACTACTAGTTTCAAGTGCCTTAAAACTTTCAAGTGGCGGCCCATTTATTTCTATCGAATTTCTTGAATATACTCAATCAGGTTGAGTCAGACGTGGTGTGTTGTCTTTCTCCGTCAACACCAAGTCGCACATTACTGTATTCCGCGTCGGTCCCGATTGTTACTACCTTACGTAGCTGGTGTTTTGCCACACGGTCACTCTGTAGCCTTCCAGGCCACACCTTCTGGTCAGCAAGGTCGTTTTTCCGTCATCGGCATGCGGATTATGTACCGAACGGTGGGATCGTCCATCATTGTGTCCCTTCAGTTGCACCGCACGCGTGCTCTTTAACTTCTTTTCCCTTCATTTCCCACCCCCCCCCTTACTTTTTCC